ACATATATTTTGAATGACTGTAACTTGTCTGCAGGGCCAGATTTAGATGGCGATGCCTTAAGCTATATCAAGCTCGGAGGCATTTTGGAAAATTAAAATAAAGGTCTTATAAAACTTGATAGCATTATGATGCATAATAATTTCTAAAAGACTACAACATTTGGAGGCCCCTCCGAGAGCGAGGCCCTAGGCTATAGCTTATTCAGCTTCAACGTAAGTTGAAGCTGAATAACCTGTATATAGCCTGCATAAGCTGTATATAGCCTCCGACCGCATAGGCTCCCTCGCAAGGGTGTCACGAGGCAGCGTAAAGGCAGAAAGAAAGCTAGGTTCCACTCGCCAGACTCAGCCCAGCCCCAGTGCCGCCTCCGGCCGCCCATCTGCTCGTGCTTTTATATTGCAAGGACTTGAGCGATCTTGGCGCGTCAAGGCTGGCTTCGAAACGTTGTTGAGGATGTCTTGACTGCTTAATAATATTCAAAGACCCAATATCAGAGTATTCATTAATGCAGTAAGTCGGCTGGACCCCGAGTCAGATACTGCTCGTGGGGCCCCAGCTTACGTGATGCTTATATTTACAGTCTATATCATATATACACTATACATTAAGTTTAAGAACCGGAGGGTCAATCAAGACTTTGACTTGCCAATCGCCATACGTTTTCTCTAGTTCATTAACCTCTCAAGTAGATTATTTACATGAAAAAAATACCGACCTGTAAATAATTTCTCAGCAGCGGCAGCTAACTGCACTTTGTGTTTACAAAAGTCTGTCTTCGAAGCAAACGAGAAAACGGAACGCAGACCCGTTAAATCTGCCCAATTTTGTGGATGGCACTCGCGACTGACCAGCACTGTTATACATTACTTTTAAGATGCTAGACGTGAAATAAATTGAACCTTAATGCTTCCCTGCCTTTCTGTGATTTGACTAATGCTCACTGTAGACGGAAGTACACTTAAAGTAGAAAAAGAGGAAAAATGCTTACAGAGCGCAGTACGTCATAACGCGCTGGCACCAGCCCAGGAAATATCAGGCCGCAACGGTCGCGGGAGCCCAGGACATTTACTTGACATGCACAATTAACGGGGATTTGTTCATTATGACAAAACGCAGTCCAGACAGTCCTGGTATTATTCTGGCAAGATTCCAATCCTCTACAGTAATACAGACGCCATCATAAGGCTATGCTTCCCTGTTCTGTGAAGGGTAATGCACGCGCCCCACGAAATCTGGCGTCACCTGAGTGACACCGGATGAAGAGTAGCCAGTGACTAAAAATATAGAATTACAGTCCACGTATAGGCATCCAGTGTGTAGTGTGGATTGGTGAGGGGAGGACCAGTGTTCCTGCGACCCTCATTATTGCAAGCGAGCTGTTGTCTGGTATTATAGTCTTCTAGGTATACATTTCAAGTTATTCCCCGAGGAAGCTAACATGAGCAGTGGAAACAGAATGACGACCTTTGGTGAAGTAAGTATGAAATGGTTTGTAGCCAACATCGATAAAGAATTGCCATAAAAACAAATGGACAGGTCTAGGGGGAACAGTGAATTCAGTGAAGTAAATAAATCGGAAACGCGTGTTGTTTTAGTACATTAGACAGGTGGTCAATGCTGCTGTTTCGTTGGGAATGAAAATTAAAACCTTGGTTGATAACAGATTTCTTAGGACAAATTCCAAATAATAATGATTATAATATACGATTATTAACACCCGCTTCACATCATCTTCCACATTTTAGGTTGAAACCCGTAGCGATGATATTCCTTATAGACCAGATAATGTGTTATAAGGGTATGGGTTTATCTCGCTTGAAGCAATTTGCTTTCCTTTAATATTTTGACAGAAACAAATAAGTGCAAAGCAACAGTTTACTGAATGGAAACTGAAAGTTTAATAAAAAAATAAAAAAAATGAGCCGCGTTTCACCAGAGCGTTCCGTGCACTGCAATTAGCGAAGACTCGTAGGAGTACATCCTTGCGGTAGACAGGGCTGAGAAGTCGCTCGTTGTCTCTGCTTTCCTGCGTTTCAAATAACGATAATAACAATAATAAAGATAAGGATATTGATGATAATATAATGATTATAATAATGATAGTGATACTGATAATGATAATATTAATAATGCTGCTGCTGTTGCTGCTCCTGAAGATAATGCTAATGATGATAATAATTATAATAATGATAGAGATGATGATTGTGATAAGGATAACGATGATGACGATAATGATAATAATAGAATAATAATGATAATGTTGATTATTATAACAGTGATAATAATGATAGTGATAGTGATAGTAGGGAAAATAATGATTAACGTAATGATCATAACGGCAATAGTAATAATTTGTCTAATATCAAACGGTCTCAACACTGGTGTACAATATACGCTCAACAGATTCGTGCAGGTTATAATGAACAGGTTATAACCTGCAGGTTATAATGAGTTTTTTGTAGCATCTCCGAACCCCCGACCCTTTGATACCCTGATCCATCCTCCAGTGTGTTCGCTCTTTACACGAACATCGTTGGAACCAATGGGACATCTTTTTGTTGTGTCTGCCTCTAGCTTCATAAAAGTGACACACTCCGACCAGCCAGTCAGAGCGCGGTAATTTTCAAATCTATTTCACGTCCGTGTCAACATGGGAGGATTTATATTTTCATTAATTACGAATCGTATGTTTCTTGATATAAAATTCATATTTGATAATGCATAAAATGTTTCTGTGCCTTTAAACAACACCAAATACAAGTCCACTCTATATGTAAACTATTTGAGGGCAATAATGACGATCGCAGGAACGGAAAGACCTAATGCGCCCTAATCATTTGATGTGGTGTCGACTGCGGTGGTTGAATATCTTTAAAATCATTCTGTGCCGCTGTGCTGTCACCTTGCAGACTCAAATATACCAAAGGAAAGGCTGTGTCCATATCAGGGGTTCCCATCTTAGGGGCCATGGGGTTCTTTCTGCAGAGGGGCCTTGGAGCAATATGAAAGTGAAGACCGAATTAAATTGGATTTTATCTCAGCTACGGTACCTGTAGATAATTATCTCTCACATTTCAATAGTGTAGTGTTCTTGCACTATAGCCGTGGGACCATTGCACTATTCATAACTAGTAATAACTGAATCTGAAAAGATGACAGACGCTGTAGATCATTCCTTATTGGTCGGGAGCCACGGAAAGGAAAAGGGCGGGAGCCATTGGTCTATATACTAGAGGCACAGACAAATAACACAATGTGACCATTCGAATCTTCCAGTTCAAGATGTGACTCTTCTACACCCTTGTGAAGCGAAAATGGTGTGTAAATAAAATAAGTAGCAAAGCAGTCACGTAGTTCTCATTTTATCTGAAGCACACATATGGCTTTGTTCCTAAAATAAAAAAATAAAAAAAAATAGATAAAAAAGTGAAATAATAAAAAATAACTTTTATTTCTTGTGGGGGACCCGCATGGGCCAACATCAGAAATGGATCACACAGCCTTGGGGGTTGCGGAATGCTACAAAAAAAATGCCTTTTGTGCATTTGGTACATTTGAAGACTCGATGTGACAGACGTTATATGATCATAATTTCGGTCAATTATTAGAAAATTGACCGATATATGGATGCTGTAAAGTAATGATGATTCCAAGGGATACCTCGTATAATACTCTGATACTGAACACAGTTTTAGATACAATTTATCTCGTAGAACATGCGATAATATTCTTCTACATCTGTTTGTATTAACTGCGTTATTATTATAAGAAAACGTTCAAACTTTTTGTGTGAATTATTCGTTGTTTTAGACAAAATTAATATTATCTAGCTTATAACATATTAATGGCAATTCCATATACTTTTTATACAAGCCGATACTTGCTTATACGATTCTAAACTATTTTTGATATAT